ATGGCAGTCAAATGCGTTGTTTAACTCGAATTGACTTTGTGAACTTGATGTGAACGTGGCCCGAGGTTCGATTGGTGCTGCAAGTGAGGCACGTGCCCAATACGCTGGAGACACAAAATTGTCAATGACTAAAAATTGCAATATTTGATGGACATTCCACTTGGCGGCAAGTATTTATAGTGAGCTGCTCTATGTACAAGTAATTAAAAATAATATAAGTAATGTGCTGGCTGAAATCTGTCGGATATTGTCTGATATTGCAAGCATATTGTATAAGTCATGCAGAGAGGCGAAAGCAAACTGTTGTGAAACACTTTTCCAACTACGAAACGTGTAAGAAGGGGGCAATGCTATGACAACGAAATTAATAAAAATAAAAACAAAAACAACTGCAATAAATATTGTCACATGCATAAAAAGGACCTCGCAATTTAATGCCTGAATGTAAGCACAGCCGTCAACATATGCGTCTATAACGTGTGTGTGTGTGTGTGTGTGTGTATGAAGGCGTATGGAATTGCCAACGTTACGTATATGAAAGTTTTTAATAATACTTGGGTAAAATACCAAAGGAAAAACTTTTATTAATAAAGTTTCTTTCTTTCTTGTGCTAAGAGCTGAAAGCGTCCCCAACACCAACTCCGTCACTGTCGCCGTCGCCGTCTCTGTCTCTGTCCCCAACCGCTAACCATCGTCACTGGCTGCCTTAAGGCTTCCTTCCTTCTTCATTTTTGCTTCAGCAACTACTAAGGTTTAATTACAGCTAGAAAAGACAGAAAAAAAGGAAGAGAAACGCATTGTCAGCCAGCAGCGACATGAACTAGTGGCAATAGTTTTTATGCACATACGCATGCAGAGCAAACGCAGCACGAACATCTAACGTTTATGCGTGCACTCTTATTGCGATCAATGAAATCGAAAAACAGCTTTTGGTTTTGGCTCATTGAGAGTACCTGTGAGGATGATTCAACGTCACGTTAAGTTTGATCTCCCAGAATTCCATGTGAATTTCGTTATTACATTACTAACTTAGGGTTTTATTAGTTAGCTTGTGTTATATAGTCTTGTGTTAAATAAGCTTTCAAATGCATAGAAATATGTATACACAATTCAATTTTTGGAAGGAATTCTTATATATTACCACACATCAAGAGCGAATACCTCTTAAAGCCATAACCACGAACCCATTAAAATTGTGTAAAAAGGACATAATGATTTTCTGCTAAAGTAGAAAGTAAAAGTATTCTTGATTAGGATCTCAGATACTATGATAACTAGAGACTTCAAAAATTTGGAAAAGAAGTTTCGGGAATATTGATACATATCGATACATTTTAGATAGTAATAAAAGTCACCATATTATTAAAAGCAGAGACTTCCAAATAATATATATTACTGGCATAAATTTCATAAAGAGCAGCTAAGAAACGCTCAAGTTGTAGTCAAAAATGTATTCTCGTGTTGATATTAAACTATCAGCGGGCGCCGCTCTTTTTATATGAAGTAAATTTATATATTAGTGAACTAGTTATTTAATACTAAACAACTTTCAAAGTCTAACCAGTCCAGCGAATAATTACTCGCCATTTTATGGCTGAATGGGCTAATTAAGTGGGTACAATTAATGTTAGCAAACTTTTAGTACGATATCACAATATGCCATTACGTATAAACGGTCTAACAGGCACATAAGCTCGCATTGGCTACAGTTGCAAGCTGCAACATGTCCGGACTTTTCGTCTCCGGCGACTGTTCGAGTCGAGTCGAGTGTTCAAGTGCGCATTTTTGCCTTTGGCGGCAATATTAAAATTGACGCCGAGATGCGAGCGGGCCGAGCGAGTGGCAAATTAAATGAAAGGGCCGGAAATAGTTTTTCCCTAGCTTTGTGTTGGAATTTTACTTAATCTTTTTTTATGCTTTATTTCTTAGCTTTTTTGTTCTTGGTTGTTTCTTTGATTTTGTCGTATTTGCCTGCTGATAGAAAGCAGAGCCGCTGGCAGCGCCGCAACTTTTGCCCAAAAATACTTTTAATTAAAATTTCAAATTATTTTCGCCGCTTGCCGAAAGCCGAAGCGAAGATGAGCAGCAGCAGCAGCAGCAGCACCAGCACAAGCGGCACAAGTATAGTTAGCAGTTGGCTGTTAGCAAAGTGCAATGGCGCACAAGATGGCGGACAGGAAGTGCGCGCTGGCAGTGCTGCAAAATGCTGCAAAATACGAAATGTGAATTGCGAATGGCAAAACGCTGAAATATTCAAAGCGCATTTTCAATTTAAAAGTTTTTGCGCTCAAGCATATTTATTTATTTTATTTCGCAATTTTTGTTTTGCGCTCATCATTGAGCCGGAGACGCAAAACAGGCAAAGATCGAGCGGGTCGTTGGTAGGGGTAGTGGGAGGGGGACGGGGATGGGGACGGGGAAGGACAGGGGTAACGCTTTGACCAAAACTTTGAAAGTAGGCAATGTCATTGAAGTGGGCTGCAGCGGGTGAATAATTTACAAGGGACAATAGCAACAACAACAGCGGTGGCAACTTTAATGCAATTTCGCTCTAGCAGATTTCATTTGTGTGACAAATCGGGGGCGTGGCCATGCAAATCGCAAATATAAAAAGAACTCATTAAAAGTTTATGCCACAAAGTTTGGCACCGCTCCCACCTCCTCCACAAATCGCTTGCCTGCCCCCAGTTGCAACCAGTTTTGCTTCCTGCCACCAGCCTGCCTGGTGTCCGAGAGCTGCCTCTGAATTGCATTTGTGTTTGCCTGTCTGCATCCACAGGGCGTTTGACTGCCTGCCTTTCGATGGCTGGGGGAGGGTGAAAGGGGAAAGGCGAATAGCCTTTTGTTCTTCCTTTTATTTTTTATTTTTTTGATGTTTTGCAATAGTTTTAAAAGCGAGTCGGCGTTAGTTTATGATACAGCTATCAATTGCAAACTTTACCCAAAATGTATAGCATTTTATTTTGGCATTCGGAATGTGCTCACAAAGTGCTTCAAAAGCTTCTATTAGCAACGGGCGAGTGCATTCAATATACACAAAAGAACGTAAACTGTGCTAACTAGATTTCATATATTCAATATATAGAAATATTTAACAACTTTTGTATACTCCATCATACTCGTGTTTCAATAAATCTATGCAAAATAAATGTATTCGTCTAAAATATGCTTTTTTGTTTGATAAAAGCCATTTAAAACAAAGATATTTACTTTGATTATGATTTTATATGTGTATTAATTATGAAAAATATGATTGTGACTCATTTGTAGACTCAATTTAACATTATTTGCTTAAAGCTCCACTTTTCTGTTTTGATAATATTAAATTATGAATCTTCGAAAAAATGAGAGTGGAGAGCGGACTGGCAGCTTACTTAACGACTGTTGAATGCACAGAATTTTGTCCCTTATTCGAGAATGTAAGAAATATTGATAGTGGAATCAGGCTATTACTAAGTCTGCTTGAACTCAAACTTCTTGTCAATCATTTCCAGGTAGCTTATTAGTTTTGCATACTTGAGCTCAGAGCAATTGAAAAGCCTTAAGCCGTTTTCAAATGTATCTTTAGATGCTGACCAAAAGTACCACAAGTTTTAGACCAGCCAGACAACAGACACTAGTTTCATGGAGTTGCTGTTGTGGCAGCCACCTTAGATGCGTTCTCAGATGCCGTTAGGCTTTCTAGAGTCGGAGAGGCACTGAGTTAGTTTGTAGTTCATTTTGTAGTTGAGCTCTCAAACTATTTGCACATTGAGTGCATGCCATATTAGCATGGAAAAGGGAATATCAAATGAGCTGCTGATGCTGATGCTGTTGCTGTTGCTGTTGCCATTGCGTAGCCGTCCATTAACAGGCGAAACGCATTTTCTCAAAGTTTAGTTCCATTAGAGGAGTATTGCTAGCTGGCTGACTGCTTCTCCTTCCTCTTCTTCATCTTGTAGGTTTCTTTTCTATTTACCAGACACTCACTTAGCTAGACAAACTGAACAACTAATTAAACTAACAGCAACAGCAACAGCAACCAACACATTTGCACACAAATTTCGTTGACCAGTTAAGCGGAAGCAATTGCTGCAGATACAGATACAGATACAGATACAGCTGGAGTTACACAGAGTGCACAGTTACATTTAGTGATCCTTGAGCAATCAGCGCAGCAGCTCCTTTGACACATGAATATGCAAATATGAGGCAATCATGCCCCCTGCCCTCTGTCGTCTTCCCCTTGCTATTTACTGCGATTGCTGCTGCTGCTGCTGCTGCTGCTGTGTTGTTCATTAATTCGCTAGAATTAGAGTCTAGAGAATGGCTCTGACTATGGGAATTCTATTTCAGCATTACTATCACACAGCTTTGCTGACATCAGCTGGGGACATCGACATGGTGCTGCCTATTTGACTCTGCTGCCGGTTAATTGATTGCAGCCATTTGGGCAAACGCACATTGTTGTCTTTTCCACATTACATTCTTTCGATTTCGCTCCCCGCCGAGTCTATTTCCATTTGGTGTGAATCTTTGCACTGTCGACTGTCTGAATTAATTACTGCTTGCCCCCTTGCCAAGCTCCCTGACAGCTGACACCATATTTTTCAATTGAAATTGAAAACTGATTACTTGCAGTAAGTCTTCCTTAAAACAGCATATCTTTAGCAACAGCCAAAATATAAATATAAATATATAGCTTATATATAATATATATGAATACATTTTTATATGCGTCTCTTTCTTATCGACTCAAGGTTCTAACAGAAGCTCGTTAAGTGCCAGACAGCTACACGCAAACAAATAAAATGAGTTCTATTTTGATTATGATTTTAATATATTAAATGTTTAGTATGTTTAAAATGTTTAAGCGGTATTTCGAATTGTTGCATTAATATTGCTAGTCAAATCATGTTTACAAATTGAAATGTAGTATTATGCAAACCGTGATGTAAAAGCACTCTGAACTTTGACTATCTGCATGTGCATTTTATAAACAAAATCATCCATGTCTGGTTTATAGCGCGTATATATATATTTTAAAAAATACAGAATTTAATTGTGGAGAGTATTTGGTTTTAAGAATACCGCCATTCTCAATAATTGGTTTCTGATATGGATCTTATCATGAGTTGTACGAATTTGGGTGATTTATCAAAGCCATGCCAGTGGTTCCAGATAATGGCCTTGCCCCGCACAGCACCCAGTTGTCGGCACTTAAAGTTTTTGCCATTAGGATTGCTGCCAAAAGAAACAGAGCCAATTAGATAAGAAGAAAAGAGAGAGAGAGAGAGAGAGAGAGCTGTTGAGAGACCTACCAGAAGAATGCACAGGATGCATACCACCAGGCACTGTGATGTCTTCTAGCACAACTGCTCTCCGGCCAGCTGTCATTATCATTGTCCCATGTTGAAAACTTCTGCAGAACACTCAAATCCATCGAGTTGCCCGCGTTGCCATTGTATCTGCCCAAAGAGCTCAGTTCCTAGCTGGTTTGCTCGCTGCCAATGCTGAAGGTGTCATAGTGAGCATATCGTATGTTTCCCTCAAGGTCCTCCAGATGCACATAGAGCTCATAACGTTGCCTGGCCGTTAGCCGATGCAGTTTTTCCAGGCCCAGGAAAAACTCACCCTTGAGCGCACCGAGCCGATAATCGCTCCAATTGCGATAGAAATTAGCATCACAGGGCCCATAGACGGTGTCCATGCCAGATAATTTGATCCTATAGATGCCAGTGGTGCTGCCAAAGGGCAAACAGCTGCTCGGTTGGAACTCGTCAGATTCTTTGAGACCGCTTTGTGCAGCTTTGAGTTTTCTCACATATTCAATGTTTAACGTTTGCAGCTCCAGCATTTGTTGCGCTTTTAATTTGAGCTGCAAACTCAAATCTGAGACTTGCTCTCTGAGCTCTACTTCGCTCTGAGGAAATTGGTCTGCTGCCAGGCAGCAAAACTGTGCATTTTAAAACATACAAAAAATATCTGCACATTCTGCTTATGCTTTTTAAATTGAAACTAAGAGCCACTGTTATCTGGCAAAAACTAAGCGCGTTATCAGCCAAACTGAACTTGAACAGCACACTGAGCGAAATGATCTAAAATCTTTTCAATTTAAGTAACAATTTTAATAAATGCTTCATTTTACACATATATATATATATATATTTATTTTTTAATAAGAAATTGAAAATTGTAACACGCATCTCTTCAATCTGTATTTTTTCTGGTTCACTTTGGTTCAGTTTTCTGGCTTTTTGGGACGGATCATGATTTGAACCGATTTCAGAGAATAATCCATTTCATGCCAGTCTTCAGTATCCCAAAATATGCCTTTGCCTGCATCATCGTAGCTGTTCGTTAGCTTTTTGGTAAATGCCGTTCAAGTTGCTGCAGATTAAAGGAAATATATATATATATTCTCATACATAATTAGATATAAGATTTGTTGGTTTGACTCACCTAAGGCCGCAACTGTTGTACCACCAGGCACCTTGAAACACCTCAGCACAGTGAACCTCTGGATCGTTATCGTTGTCACGATCGCTTGTGCTGAACTTTTGACCCTTATTGAAACGCATTGCATTTTCGACATCACCGTCGTAATTACCCAGCGATTTTAGGGCATACGATTCCTGCTCAGTGCCGACGATAAAGTTGTCATATTTGGCATAATGCGAGACCCCGTCAAAGTCCTCCAGATAGATATAGAGTTCCTGCCGCTCGGCTGTTGTCATATGATGCAGCTTCTCCAAACCGATGAAAAACTCGCCGTTCAAATCCCCAAATCCTTGTTTATACTCCGACCAGTTGCGATAGAAGTCAACAGTGCCGTTGATTCTTCGCTGTATGACAGTCCAGCCGTGACCAGCTACCGATTTGCCATTGCATAGTACTTGAAAGGGTTCTTGATAGCCGGACACCTTAATCATATGCACATTGTTTGAGTTGCCAAATGGCAAACAGCTGGAAGCCTGGCAGCAAGTCGAAAAGGCTTCAAGCACAGAAGTCAGATGCTTAATTCTGTCCGCATTTAAGCTCTGCTCAGATTTAAATTTCTCAATTTGCTCAGCCATTTCCTTCACATTTGATGACAATTTCTCAATTTCGGTTTTATCGCCCTCGATTTGCTTTTCAAGGATTGCAAGGTTTTCTAACTGGTTCGCTATGGTATTATTCTTGTCAGCATTCGATGAGTTTAACACTTTAATTTCCTTATTTGCTTCATCCAACTCGGCTGTTGTTTTACTTAATTGTTCTGTTAGCTCCTTTATGGTTTGTTGTTGTAAGTTCAGTTTTGTATTCGTTTCGCTGATGGTTTTATTTAGGTAGGAAAACATAGGATTTGCTGCTCCATGTATTTTATTAAATTATATTCTTTTGACAAGTTACCAATTCCTGATTTATTTCGTCGTTCTTGAGCTTTATTGGATGGATCATCGATTTATATAATTTTACTTGCTGTGTGCGATTTCGATTAATTTCCACAAGCAAGTTTCTGACTGACACACAATTATTTTTCAGTTTTTCGTAGATGTTTATTATACGGAACATATATTGGGTTTTTGTTGATTGCACATGATTTTTACTGATAGCCAACGAGTTTGGAAAACTCAACAACAACACAATTGAGAGCAACAAAATATTATTTAACATTTTAAATTGATTCTTCCGCAACTATTTCTTGCTTCATTCGCCGATTATGCCAAGCAAAGCTCAAGAATCGAGTCGTCTGCGCCTTTTATAAGCACTTTGTATATTATTCTAACTATTCCATGCATTCAGCGGAACAGATTATTTAAGCGCTCTCCCATAATCATAAATAATGTGAGCCTTATCGCGTACAATGAGTCAAGCTTAATTATTTATGCTTGCATGAAATTAAGGGTGAAGTATATAAGCAGTATATGAAAAAACCAAAAGATTTATATTTATTTTATTTGTTTGATTTATTTGCATTCTTTAATGTCATCCTTTGCATAGCTGCTATGACGTATGTCCTATTTTAATACTATATACAAAACTTAGCTCAGACTAAAAGTAAGCAAAGAAAAAGAAGAAACTCAGACTAAGCCTATAGCTTAAACCGATTTCCTTAATTTCGTTAGTACTTTTTTCTCTGCCCTCTCTGTATTTTCTTGCTTGCTGTGAACTGTGAACAATAAATTATAATTATATTTTCATAATATATACTTTGAAATCAAAGTTAAACCTATATTTATTTACACAGTGGACTTAAAGATTATTTTAATGGTTTCTTAATTTGCTGATAGCTGATGCTGGACGCATATCCGGCCTGCCAGCAGTACCAATTAAATGGTTATATTTTATTAAACGTCTGTTGCAAAAGACAAAAGGCCACAATGGCCATTGCAAATAGATGGCGCGATTTTCGCTCATTTTGCGGTGCAACTGAGCGTATACGCAACGTGCAACAGTGTGAGCACGTGATGGGAAGGCGGGGGGCGGGAGGACCCGGGACGTGGCATGAAGGTGTGGCATCTCTGCTGGTTGCCATAACGCTGACGTAGCCGTTTCAGCCGAGTCGAGACGCAGCGACGCCTGCACTTCACACAGACAACTGAGGTATGGGTGAAGAGGTGCAGGGAGTGGTGAGAGAGGGGGCTGAGATCTCTAGACAACGCTGTTATTTATTCCGGATTTGCTTACATTTTTTATTTATATTTGGCAGACGTCAATTTTGATGGCGGCGTTAGCATTGGCTTTGGCTCTGGCTCTGGCTTTGGCTACAGCAATCCAAAGGATGCAGCTGCAGGTGTCTAGGGGTTATGGTCGTGGCGGGTTGAGGTTGGTTGGAGTTTGGGTTTGGGTTTCTGACCACGTGATGCTTGTGTGCTGTGCCAGCCATGCGGAAAATAAAAGAAATGCCAAGCAAGAGAGGCAACAGAGGCAACCGCTCACCTTTGATTGTCTTAGCGCTCGCTGTCCGCTCCGGCGAGCAACTAATGAAAACTGCCCTTAGTTAAGGGCTGAGCTCTTTGGCATACCACAGCCCTTAGCCGGTAGCCAGGCCAAGCCCAGATTTTGCTGCAAATACTTTACGCTTTAGAAAATGCTTTTGTCTTTTGTGTGTTTGATTGCTTAGAATTAAAACGTTTCAAATTGTTGCCAAGACTTTTGTGTCATTTGTTTTTTTTGGTTTTTCTCGTTTTTCTTGAGCAGCAGCAAGGAGCACTTAAAGCCAACTAGGATTTTGATTAAAAAACTTTGGTCAGCAAACAAATTCAATAAGCACAAGAATCACAAAAATCAATAGCCAAAAGCCGTCAGCTGTTTCACACAGCCGCCATCGAAGTGGCGCGAACTAAGTAATCTAAGCCACAAAACACAGCCACAGAATGCGTAACTTGGAGTGTGGGGCTGCTGATGGGGGCTGGGTGTGGGATGGGGTGGGGTGTGGAGTGGGGATTCACATAAATTCAAGATGTGGCCATAAGATTTATGACGATTGCGAACGTGGAATTTCGACAGCGGCGGCCATAGACAAAAGTGGCCAAAAGAAAATGCCGCAACATTTGTGAGCGCCTCTGGCCTTTGAACTTGAGCGTACAGCTGTGAAAGTTGATGGGGTAGGGGGGCCCCCCTGTGTACGAGTGGGCGTGGCTGGACAGCAATTTACAGTAGGCATATAAAATGTGCATAAAAATTGAAACTGCTCGCCCGAGGCCGCTGAGAGTGGCAGAGCAGAGAGTGCCAGAGAGGCGCAGCGCAGAAGGGGCGTGGGGGCGTATACTTTACGCATTTTAAGTTTCAATTTCACAGCCGAATTTATGGGCATAAAAATGGCAGCATGGCCATTTTATGGCCACTTCCGCTGACCAAAGCGCAAAACTCGTAAGTGATTTCAAACATAAAAAAGCATAAAAAGCATTAGAGAAGTCAAGAGACGTCAAGCAAATATGATAAATTTCTACATGCGCTTGTATACCCTGTATAACATTGAATTTATAGCGGAAATTTTACTTACTGCCAATGCGATTCGTCAAATACATTTTTCCATGCCATTTGCCAGGCCATACAATCCAAGCACCCCCAGCCACCACCTATCCTTGGCGCATTTCCTCATTGAGCTGCGCAATCAATTGTCAAAGTCGTTGCTGGGTGTCTGGTAGGGGATGGGGTGGTATGTGGAAGGGGATGGGGGACTGGTACGGGTTCCATAATCCGGCTTATTATGCAAAGTAAAAGCGTGGCCCTGCTCTTCTTCTGGCCAGATAATCTTGGTGATATTTTATTGTCGTCGTCGCCGAGGCTTGTAAATGCGTTAACAGCCACGCCCACTCCTAGCTGCGCCTCCTCCACTCTCTCTCTCTCTCTCTCTCTCTCTCTCTCTCTCTCTCTCTCTCTCTCTCTATCTCTCTCTGTCTCTCTGTCGTCTCTGCTTCGTGCAAATTGGGATATATTTCCGTTTCCGGTTTGCTGTTCGCAGTTCGCTGCCAGCTCATTTGTCCCGCAATCCTGCTGCTTGCTGTAATGACGGACTTTGCGCTCAGATTTTGCTTTTACGATGTTGGCGTTGCCATATTTTTATATATATGGCACTCACATCCGGCCGCATATATGGAAATTCTCGAATTTATTATGCGTTTGTCCGATTGTCTCGCGCGTAATTTTCCAATTTCCATAAACGGTTTCAATTTCAACATTTCTCTTTCTGTTTTCTTTTTTTTTTATCATTCTGTTGATGTGTTCGTCTCGAAAGGGTTTTTCGCAATTTGGCATTGGGGTTTCCTTTTCGGTTCATTACCATACTAAATGGTTGCTTAACATTGATGAAGTATTAAATTATACGGTGCAGACAGGAATGTGGCTATGACTATGCCACATTACGGACACATTTCATTCCATTTCTATTACAAATTGTCCAAATTGAACACATTTCTGGGGGGAGGAGGCTCTTGACAATGTCGATTATGTGGCAAACCCCACAACAGTTTCTCTATTTGCATTTGCATAATTCTCTTTGCGGTCGCATATTTGTGTAAAGAATTACGACTTCTTACAAATTATTCTCTAACTGGGCATTGAAAGAAGATTGTTTCGCTGGGTTCGGGAATTTAATAACATTAAATTATTAACAAAAAAACGAAATATAAATATCTTATTAAAATAATATCATTTTAAGGATATACTTGCTAGAAAAAGTAGACGAATATTTGTAGAATAAAAATCACTAACAATATATTAATAACATTATTTGTCTGGGAGGATTAAAGGCAAGGGAGCACAATGAGTGAGTGTATTGCAATATGCTTACTTATACATCGACTTAGCATAACTATTCGAATTTAAAAAATGGAAACTCAGCCAAATATTTGCCACAATCATTTGCATTTTGCCCACACTCTCTTCACTTAATTCACATTCCCATAAGCTGACGAGTATTTTTTCTCCGAATGCAAAATCCGTTAAATAGTCGAGAAAACTATACGAAAATCTGAAATGTGATGACACAGCCATCGTTGTACATGATCACCTGCTGTTTGTCCGTGCAATGCATATTTAATAGCTATTCCCCTGTCTCTCTCTTTAGTCGCTCTGTCTCTTTCTATGTGAGGCTGCAGTTTGTTTGGAGTTGCCACCCATTGAATGACTTCATTTTGAGCGGTCTGCGATGCAAATTTGCAACTGATTTTGTGCCCAAATCACATTGTTTGGCGAAAGGAGGCGAAGATGGCGGCCAGATGAAGGCGACGTATGGAAAAATGCAGAAACGATTTAAAAACTCTAAAATTAAGCTATCATCAGTTTTTACAGTTGGCCATCAACTCTATCGCCGGCTCTCTCGCACCCATTGGCCAAGGTGGAAGGTGGAAAGACAGTCGAGTACAATATGTGTATAAAAAAAAGTCAAAAAGAAATAAGTGCGATGCAATGTCATTAAAGAAGACAGCCAGACAAGGACGAGAATTTAGAGAGGAGGAGCAGAGGGGCTAGCTGAGAATGACTATGAGCAACATAAAATCACAACACACACACACACACAGACACCAGCAAACACACACAGACTCGAACTCGCACGTAGATAGAAAGACATTGCCCGTAACCCAATCCGTAACCCAACCCGTATTCCTGTCTGCGGTCGCTTATCGGACGTTGTGTGTCGTCTGGCTCTGAACTCAATGTCCTGTGTGTGTGTGTCCTGTGTCCTGTGCCTTGTCTTGTGTCTCCGTATGCGTTACGTAAAGCTGTAATCTGTGCTTATAAAACGGCAAATGGCAAACTCTGCAGAGGGTTTTTAATTGTCTGTGCCGGATGGCAGACTTAAATGCCCCACGACACAAGATGGACCCCTAATGACACATGGAGAAATCTTCAATTGTGCATAAAGAAAATGAAAATAATTAATTAAATAAACTCTTTTGAATGAATTAAACATACAAAAAGTGAAGTTGAACTCTTAGATCAATTAGAAAAATGTATTTCTATTTTCTTATTACTTTTTCTCATCTCTACAATTTTGTGGGCTATATCTTTTGACTTTCCTGTAATTTCTCTCAGTGCACACACGTCCGATATGAAACGACTTTGTTGAGTATGACAGAACAAATGCTTTCGAGATTTTTTAATTAAAATCCCTTCATAATATTATGTTAATGTTTGCTTGCCACCTGAAAAACTACGAAACCAACCAACCCTGTCACTTTATTTTACTGCACCACCACCCCTCCCTGAACCAACCCGACTTTTAAGCTGAAATCAGCGCGAGGCAAACTAATTTTTTGGCTGAGATTGAAGTGGCAGCTAGAAAGTTATAAAAAGTAATTGCTGGCACCCGTTGACTATTTTTTTTCTACGCTTTAACGTTTTTCCACATTTTTGCTCGTCTCTCCAAAAATGCAAATTGAGTGCGCTATCAGCAACTGTCAACCCATCTACCCATCTACCCCTCCCCTCCCCAACCATCTCTCTCCCTATCTCTCTTAGCCAACGCATGTCTATTTAAAGGGGGAAGAACACGGAGGGCGGAGGGGGACAGACGCCCATTTACTGTCGCGCATTTCACCTGTTTTGGACTCTGCGTTGTCGTCTCCCTTTTTTCTCGTTTCTTTTTGTTTTTTTTTTTTGTTGGCCATTTGGCTGATGTCGGTAGATTTAGCGCACGTAGCATTTTTAATAATGCCGCCAATTGTCATATTTGCCGCCCAAAACGCAATTGGGCACAAACCCATCTCTGGCCGAGTTCTCATCTGGTCTCTCATCTGAGCACCTCATATGGTTATTGTTGCTGTCATCCGCTCTTGGCCAGCGTTTGCAGCAATTAGTTTCAGCAAATTTCCAACTAGTGTCCCACAATAAAAAGAAATGTGCGATGGAAAAAAAAACAAAAACATTACAGATGAATTGTAGCCCAACATGAGATAACTAGTGTTGGCGAAAAAGATATGGATAGACCACATTAACTATAATGACTGTGAACAGTCAACACATTTGTTGAGGGTTTATGTGGGATGAAGCCAATTGAAGCAAAAAGAAATGTGGCTTTAATGTTATTAGGATAGAGGCCAGAAAATAAAATAGTGATTCACTTAGAAACACTCAGCTAAATATCTTTTCAGCTTTCCTATATTTTATAAAATTTATTTTTGGGGAATTTATATATCTCGATAAATAACATTTAATTGCTGAGGAGTAAAAATAACAAATTTCAAATACAACTTTAAATCACTACGGTCCAGTCTCGGGGGGCAGGAATAATCTAGTCACTTATGTCGTGTCACATCACAATAAGAGTCACGTGTAAACGTGAATTGACATGGCGCCTATCAGTCATAAAAATGAATACATAGAAACAACATCGTTTATTATCCCTCCCCGCAGTGGACAGCTTTCCGTTGGCTTCTCTCTCAATTTTTGTTGTTGTTGTTGTTGTTGTCTGTCGTATCAATTGTCAATTTTAATTGCTGGCAGTTGTCATAACTCGGTTGTTAAATTTACAACCGGGCAGAGTGGAGACATTTAATGGCGCCTGAAACGAACGCAATGCGTTGACTTTCTTTATGGTTATGTAACTGGACAGACAGACAGATATATATACATACATATATACAGAGAGAGAGACCATATGCGAGTCTGCTTAATATGCAGCGAATAACCATATATTGAATCATCAGAGCCAATGCCGATGGACACGCTCTAACTCTGGCTGTGACTCCAACAGCTCTGGCTCTGGATAAGTTAGAGTCACGTAGAGATGATTTTGTAATCCAACTGGGGCTGACTGGTCATTTAATTGCGGCCGATAAGGTGTGCGTTTACACAGAATTTCAACCCTGCTCCACACTGCAATGTATTTTATTTATTTCCTTCTTCTCTTTTCTTGCAATTAGTCAAACGAATTTGTCGGAATTAATCAGAAGTCACCATCGCCATCATCGTCATCGTCATCGTTTAAAATGCAAAATGCGTGCGCTAAATTACGGCGAATTTCTAAAGCAAGCCAGAGCCTAGACGCATTTTTTAGCGTGTAAACAGTGTGACTCCAGCTCTGCCCCACCACACCACACTCTCCCTGCGCTCTACAAGTCACAATGTCGGCAAAAATGACTTTTGTGGTGCTGAGCTGAGAGCTGAGCTGCTGTTGATGACTCGTTTTGGCTTTTGTGCTCGACTGGCGCGTCTACATTTGAATACTAATTGCATTTAGGCCAAGTTCGTTGTTGCTTTCGAACCGAGACTGGCAGTCGTACTTTGGCTTGTGCGGTAAATATGATCAACAACAAAGCGCGTCATTTTGACATTTGTCTGTTTCACAGCGCCCACGTTGCCAATTGCCTGCCATCGCCAGCCAATTGCGCCAACTAACTCCCACGACTGACAGCCTCGACCAACTCTCTGTCTGTCTCTGTGTCTGTGTGTCTGTCTGTCTGTCTGTCTGTCTGCCTGCCTGCTCCACGTAATCGCAAATAGATATGCGACTCAGATAATGATCGGGCTCAGCTGGCTGGCATAGCGCTCCCGCTCCAGCTTCAGCCACAAGTTGCAAGTTCTCCGAGCTGCAACTTCAGTTTCAAGCTTCAACTTCTCATTCTCTGGCGGTTGTCGCGCTTTGAACTTAAATGGGTTTTGTGGCTGTTGTTGCCGTTGTTGTTGCTGTTGTTGCCGTTGTTGCCGTTGCTGCCGTTGTTGACATGCAGTCAGTGGGCAAATTTGCCATATGTTGGCAAAATGGCAAACTGCTTTTGCACTGGCCTTTTCGGCTTTAGCCAAGTGTCAGGTTTTTTAACATTGCCTTGCCAGGATCTTTTTTTCGCTGGCACATTAACAATGCAGCAAACTGAACGCTGCATGCCTCAAGAAAAACACACATTCAATTTGCAAGCACATTTCACATACCATGGGGTGGAGGGTGCTGGAATACTAAAGCTAAAAACTTGATTTTATTTGGCATCAAAATTTCAGTCAAATGCAGTTTTCAAACGCAGAATATTTGTAATTATATTCAAATATTGTGAATAAATTATTTTAAAGTTTCCCACGATCTCTGCTTTTGTAGCTAAATAAACAAAATTTAAAATAACAAATATTTTTAAGCAAATATATATTTTTGTTAACATTTTCCTCCATTTCTTTTTCTTAAAAACTCATCTATGAAGCACTTATTAAATTGAAGTCTTTTAAACTGTACCAAACATATTTTTAATAATTTCCAAACACTCTAAATTTCCCAAATTGGGTTTATTATAATAATTTCCAAAAATTTGAAAACTATTATCTGATTTTATTCATTGTTTTTTTTAAGTCTTCTCAATCATGTTGCACCTATTGGGTTTATTAAGCTGGCGCTTTTTGTCGCTTGCTAATGGCCGAAATTTCAACAAATTGCTTTGGTGGTGATGAATTTGGAGCAATGCATGAGAAAGGGGGGAGTATAAGAGTCAAGAGAATGAAAGACGGCAACAGCCGCCGCAGACTGAAGTCAATGAATAATGGGCTCGAGCACAACATCAGCGCGGCACTTGTAATTAATTATACAGCAGGAACAGCAGGCTAGCAGCAACAGCAACAGGAACAGGAACAGGAGCAAAAGAAAAAGGCGGCGGCGGCGGCAGCGGCAGCTTTGGGGCAGCAAAAATGTCTGGTAATTATCACTAAGACGCGCCGCTGCTGATTAAAAATGCGACGCCGACGCTGTGAATTGAACTTGGACTTGGACTTGGACTTGAAGTTGATGCTGATGCTGAAAGTTGAAGTTGGACTTGTCGCTGGTGTGGAACTTGGGCAATGTGCAGCGAGGCAGCAAGTTGAACGGCGACTTCAACTCGAATTCTGACAGTTTTCGTACAGGCTGACATGACAAGCTGCCAGTGCCGATGACGCTAAAAACTTGGGGCCCGCAGTCGCCAAAGTCGTTGCCCGGCTGCCGGCTGCCGGCGGCCAGTTGCGGCTTGCGGTTGCCCCACCAACTGATTGACTGTCCAGACAACCAGGCTGGAGACTGAATCTCAATCTCTCGAGTCCCCTTCTCTCTGTCTCCCTCTGTCTCTCTCTCGCTCATCGCTGGAGCAGCATGTAGCCAAGTGCCGACGGCGGCTGACCAACTCCTTGATTGCTGACTGAGGCCCACTGAGTCGGACACACACTGCTGTTGAGTGGGTAGTGGGTGGGGGTGACTCTGTGGACGAGGAGGCGGTGGGGAGGGGTTGGTTTGTGCAAGATGTCGACAGCTAGGGACATGGAGTTACTTACCAAGTGTTGCATATGAATGAGGCGTGCCAAAAGCTGACAATGATATTAACCTTGATGTCCATTTTTCAGTCGGTTTTTACCTTGAAGGTCATTTAGGCCTTGAATCGGTGTGTGTTGTGTGTGTGTGTGTATGAATACCATAATTGCATTGGTTTATCTCTCATTCGTATTCAATCAGTTTATTTGCAAGTAATCGATATATCTATGATATTCATCGATTATATTTTATTAAAACTGCTCTGACATGTGTCAATCGATAATCAAGATTAAAATTTCTCTCTTTAAAGTCTTCAAATAACTTCCAAGAATTTTTACAACATTATTTATTCAAAACATCAAAATAAACTAAAATAAAATTGTTTTCTATTACCTGTAAAATGATGCTAAATTGTAAATTAATTGATATACACACACCTGTAGTATTTGCTAAAAGCCTTTTGAATCTGGCAATCTGGTTTTAACTGTTATTCCATTTGGACGGCAAACGAGGCAAAGCGTTTGTTGGTTTCGAGTGACTAACCCCGTTTCAAAGGCACGAAACTGAACTCATTTCGCAGTAATTACATTTTGCATTTAGATATTTTCAATTTCGTTACGATTTGTAAAGTTGAGCAAAAGCGTGATGTTTTTGTTTTTGCTGCTTTTATTTTGTGCTGCGGCTTTTGCACTGCGCGAAAAAGCAAAGCAATTTAATCTCGCTGCTTACGTCCAAAATTTTCGCCATCCTCGAGCGTTTCGGGCAGCGGAAGGCCTCGAGTCTCTGGCAGGAAAATGGTGCCGATAACGGCCACAATGGAAAACACACCGAATATGAATGGTGTTAACCAGGCCCTAAACATGGCCAGGTCACAGATGAGCGGCGCTATAAATCCACCAATCCGGGCAATCATCGAGCACAGTCCGACTCCATTCGATCGCACAACGGTCGGAAATATTTCGCCACCCCACAGATACACATTGGGGAATGTCATCGATGCCCCAAACAGCCCCACAGTGGCGCACATCACCTGAATATTCATTGGGGCATTGGTGAGGAAGACGAGGGCCAACAGTCCAACGGCACTGATCGAATTCGTCAACATCATTGTCACCTTTCGGCCCAAGTACTTGGTCAGCACAACGCAGAGCAGTGTGCCGGGTATGCTTAGACCGGCGGCAATCAGATTGTTGATGAATATATTGCCGCCTAGCTTGGATATATACTGAGCGATGCCATAGTACACCATGCAGACAACCAGCCAATTGTTCGCCATGCAGATGGTCTTGATCCGCATACGGGGTGTCCGGAACAGATCAATTAAGTTGCCCTTTTTCGATGGCATCCTCGCCGCCAGCACTTTGTGTCCAGCCTCAATTTCCTCGCGAATCGTATCTGTTGGGGCTCTATTGTGTTTTGCCACCTTTTCCAATATCTTGATGGCATCGTCTACGCGTCCAGTGGTAAATAGCCAACGTGGCGACTCCGGCACCAGGCAAATGTAAATCACAAATACACAGGACCAGATCGTTATGCTGAACTGGAACCACCTCCAATCCCTCAGAAAGTACGAGAATACGGACAGTGAGGCGTGGCCAATATTGAACGGCAACTGATACAAAATGGCGATTAATTCACGCTTCTTCGGTCCAATGATCTCCATGATGAGCACAAAACTGCAACGAGAGATATAAATAAATACGATGAGGGAAAGTAAAAATATCAACTTACCACTAAAAAAAGATATCTCATAATATTTTGAATACATTTCGTATGCAATATATGCACGTATATATATAGTATATACTTAGTATATACTTATATAGTATATACTTATATCACTCTTATTATAGCCAAAATGATTTTATATGCTAGTTTATTGCTTTACATAGTTTATACCTGTGTCTCTGAACCCGTCGAGGAAACCAGTTAATCTGATATTTATAACAAGTTCTGTTGAATTGATGATTATATAGCACGAGAAGGAAACATATATCTCAGTTATTGGAACCGATCGGCAAACATAACTATATAGCAATTGCATCAAATCAAACTAAGCCGTTTTTTTTTCTCTTTGTCTTTTGTTATAATTATATGTGAATATGCATGGTGAAATCGTGAATTATGTGTTGAATTAATTAAGACTGACTGTAAGTGGTGGGCGAAGTAGTCAATTAGTTTTACCTGGTTGTCATGGTGCCGCCTGTGGCAAATGCGGTTAGAAATCTGAACAGGCAGTAGAACCAGAAATACGGCGAAACACAAACGATCAAGCCACAGATCAGCTGCATGAAGCAGCAGCCCAAAAAAGACGGACGACGACCAAACCTGCAGAATAACAACAGATGAAGAGATGAAAATATAAATTTATAAATAAATATACATATACGAGTATATATAGATGTATGTCTTACCGATCGGAGAGCATGCCAAAGATCATGCTGCCAAACATAACGCCGAGCATGACAATGGACTGGGAGAGGCTCGCCAGAGTGGCATTCTTGCAGGTGAGATTCCATTCCGTGATGATGGTCGACTGGAAAGTGCTGTGATCGAATTCCGTTTCATGGCAATCGTCGCTGCACGGATCTGTGACGTTCTCGGTGGTGCAGCTGTGGGGCGTGGGGGCGGCAAGGAAGATGTGGCCGATTGTGTGCCACCCGGTGCCGAATTTGCACATGAATATCACAATGCAGAAGAAGAGCTGATAGCGTCTAAAGTCACCGATTTGCGAGATTATCGGATCGGATGTCTTCTCGACCGGCTTCGGTGGGTCCTTTTTCTTCTCACTATCAGCCATTTTCAACTATGTAATAACTATTAAAACAAAATTGAAAAGAAACTCTGAGTATTATTATCAAATGTATAAAAGATTACTTTGATTTCTTATCAACTAAAATGTTGACTTTGTATGTAATTGTTGTACGGTAAATTGTGGTGAGTGTCAGTCGCACCAGTTAGTTATTTTTTGCAGTGTAGAGTTGACTTTCTCGAAAATATTTGGTTTCGAGACTGGAGCTGGCAACAGACTGGCGCGAACAGATCGTCCGCGATCGATTTCATATGCCAACATTCAATATTGAACCGGTTTCTTTGGCTCAGTCGGCAGTTGGCAGTTGGCAGTTGTGGCAGTCGGTTAGCGTGACAACTTCTTGGCCCGGCTAACGGCAAACGGCTAACAGGCATTAGCACCTGAGAGAGCAGTCGCAGCAGCCGCAGCAAGAGCACGTTAAGGTTCGCATCCAGCTTAAATTGGCATTTAGTAGTGCAAGAAATACAAATAAAATAAACCGAAAAAAAAGACTGCAACAGAAATAAGGCCAAAAGGCAACAATGCTCACTTTTACCTCCAGCTTTGAAACTTGTCGTTGTTGTTGTAGTTAAATGAAGTTGGGGCCGCTTCATTAATTGAAGGTGCGCCACGGCTAAAGCTATTTGCCACAGATAGCTAGCTAGCTAGCTGCCACTAGATGCTGCCATTGTCTGCAGCCAGATAAACGATGCCTGTCACAAGCCGCAAGATGGCTTAATTATCATCGAGTGAAAGTTGTGGGGCCTCAGATTTGTCGCTGGCGACAAGCAACAATCAACACTCTCAACACTGGCAACTTGCAACACAGCCATATGCAGCATTTTCCCACGACTGTGGCACAACCTGTGTCCAGAGAGACCCAACCACTAAAGTGGCGCAAGCACCAAAATGTCACAACAATTGAAAATAAATTATATGCAAATTGGCTAGCCAATCAATGTACACAACACACTCGCACACACAGCACATGATAAATCCGCCAATTGTCGCATAAATGTGTCACTTTGGCACCCACTAAGATGCCCAAAACTGAGCACAGCACAAATAACAACTGCAGATTGCTGCCTTTCGATATGGTTACTTAAGAGCCGTCAACATGGCAATAAATTACCAAAACTGCATAACATATTTGTATATGAGTCAGGCTATTGACGATGTGTGCAACAATTTGCCATTGCAAGCAGCAACACACTCTGAGGAAAGGGCTTAGATGGTCTTAAGAATTTATCGCACACAGATTATGGATTGATTATCATCTGTGCTTCAAACTAGTTAGTTGGATAACACCTCAACTTTTTGTTGCTGTTGTTGAACTAGAAATTAATATGCGTCTCGACTGAGCATATATAATATTAAATATATATACACTATATATATATGCATCTGTATCTGGCTGCATTATGCATTTGCACTTTTACGGGGTATAATCACTAAGCAGACAATAGATTGTATAACACTTATAGTGCAGGCCTACAAAGTGTCCCAATAATCTTTCGTATCATGAAGTTTTATACACTTTCTTATCAAAATACAAACTTACTATGTAATAAGCACGTAAGGTTAGTAAAGGTTAAGGTTATCGTTAGTGTTGATATTTTTACTAGGACAAATTAAGTTGCTTATAACACTTGGCTTTGCATTTCAAACTTCACATTTGGGCTTAATATTGTGAGTTCAGTTTCGCTTGTAATTAAGCAGCACAATTCTTTTAAGTTGCACTTGCAGTCAGTCTGTCTGTTGTTCCATTGAATGCTGTCGATAGCTGTTTTCAGACTGCGAATGAGTTCAGCTCCAGTCTGCGTACTTTGGTACTCGTAACTTACTGGGCATGAATAGATAAGAGCTTCGACAGCATCATTAATTCTGCCTGATAAGACAGCTTCCCGATCTATCTCTCTCTCTCTCTCTGTCTGTCTGTCTGGAAGACAATTATCAACAATCTTATCTGTACAAGATTTTTAGTATTCCACTTTGTTGCCGCAGCTTCCGATGTACAACAAATATTTGGTAAACAAAACCACTAATAAAAACTGACAATATTGAGTATTGAATGGAAAGAGTGTACACAAAATATGAGCATTAGCTCAATACTTTTGTCGATTATAAATAGGTTATTGATTTTAAATGATGACTACATATTTTTATTTCATCTTTTTTTTTGGTTTTATTGCACTTTGTGTAATCCCCAATTCATATTCAAGATTGGACCATAAATGCCAGCTGTAATTAATAGAGATTTGAGCTGTGGTAAAAAGCCACAAGTTGAAGAGCCAAACAAAATAATACTTAACAACCTCTCTAAAACTGTGAAGGGCTTGCATAAATATGAAATCTGTGTAGAGCACCACCAAAAAGCACCATCAAGCCCACCCAGCCGAGTGACCACAAAGCTAAAGCAATTAAAAAGCATAAAGAACATTTGCATTGTCGGCCGCCTTTGGCCAAGTGTGCAGATTTAAGCGGCTTTTGAATGTCAGGAGCGACAACTGTTTATGCCAAATATTTTGCAAAATATTTTGCGCAACTCGTTTTTGGTTTTTCGGTGTGGTGGTGGCGCCCCGTCAGCATTTATAGTCCTAGCAACGCTCCAATTAGCACACAAAGGGATTACAGGCAAAATACCCAAAAATTTGCAGGGCTTATGACAGAAATGTGAGCGAACCATGCTGTGCAGTGCTTTAGCCAAGGCCAATACTATAGCCCACTCCGGTTTGCGGTTACTCGGCCATAATTGCAACAGAAAGCGTCAGCTGGGCGACAGACAAGAGAGGCTGTGTTGATTCCAAATATGCACTTGAATTTTGAATCAAGCGAGTGAAAATAAAGTGCAACATGCATGTTTATGCTATCAGCTTTTTGATAGCTTTATTTTCTAATTAATAACACGAAGGTTGTTCAAATATACTTAGACTAGAAGCCAAACGCTTAGTCTCTCCGATCAACACTTTTTTTTTATTAAGGTTTGATGCCAAATTGCTAAACCTTTTCACAACAAGAGTAACTAACGATCGATTACCGAAATGAAGGTTTGAACGGGAATAACTAAAAACGATCGATAAGCCAGAGCTATGGCAAACAACTGATTAGCTGTGGCAGCCGGCCGATCAGTGAACGCCCTTATCGAGAGCGCTGCACAAAGAGAGCGCTGCTGACGTTGGCTGCTGCAGCTCAAACTGCAAACTGCACTTAGCATAATGTGGATGTGTAATTAAGAGTAATAATAAGCAATTTATATTGAGCCACAACAATGTTAACAACTCACAATCAATTAAAGTTCTTTGCTGCTGCTGCTGCCAAACAATGCATTCAATTTCAAGCGCAGACAATCAAAATACTTTTCAGTTTTAGCCATAACGAAATTCATAAAGCGAATGTCGGCGTCGTTTTACCAATTCATACGAAAATTGCCAACTCAGCGCGCTCATATATCATTTTTATGCCCAGCCACGCCCCTTTCAACTCATTGCAAATTGACAAATGCTGCAACTGCGCGGCAGTGTCTAAATGTCTTTGCCACTATTTAAGGTCTTTTATGAGTTGCCAGTGCACTCTGTGTTCTCCAAGTTGGAAGCTCAGCCCCGCAGCCATGAAAAGCTGTGGGGCAGACACAGAGTTGAGCTGGCAGAGGGGCGGGGGATTGCTTGCTTGGCAAATGAAAAAGCGCACCAGAAACTATGAACAATGCTCAGCGAAATAAAACTGCTTGTAATATGTAGTAAAAATCCCGAGTGAAGATGGTTGGCAAGCCTTTACGGCGACCTGGAGATGCGCTATCTATTTTAAATGGATGCCAAGAAAATCTGTTAATGATCAGAAATTCAAAAATTATACAAGATTCTTTAAACTAATTCACACAACTGCCTCGTCTTCAAAGAACTGTGCATTATATCTATCTTCCAGCTGGTCGTTCTTCACTTTTTGTCTTGATTAGGAAAAGTTCTCAAAATCTTAAGTCAAAGAAAGAAATTTTCCTTAATACTTACATTAGTTGGCAGCCAGAATCGATGATAGTTGTCAGCTGCTTGACCTCTGAGGTACTGAAGAAAATCCTTAGCTAGCCCGTATATAAATATTTTTCAAAACCACCCCTAACATTTCTTATAGTTTTTCCAACTACCTGAGTTCTAATCCGCATAATCAAGCATCTGCCTGTCCATCCACAAGGTTGACTTACCTACCGAATAAGCCAACAACAATTTACACTGACAGAACACTGATAAGTAATAATGTTCAGAATGTTGTCCCCCGTTTTACACTTGAGAATGTAGAAATGTTGATTGTGGGATTAGGCTAAAAATGAGCTTTAATTTTTCATAAAATAAAATCAGTGAAAATGTTACTTTCTGGCTGTGCATCTGTCTGATATGCCCTGTTTTTGTGGCAGCGTATTTGCAGCATTACTTAAAGTGCGGCAATGTGGAGCGGGGGCAACAGCAAAAAAGCATATAGAAACAAAGCGCCGCATCAACGCTTTGGTGGCTAGCTGTCTGACTGGCTTGGCTTGAGCTTGGGCTCTGGGCTCTTGGCTCTGGTCTCTGGGCCTTGGCTCTATTCCTCTCTAAGTCCTCTTTGATTAAGTGCTCAGTCTTTACTGTGGAGATTTTTTAATCGTTACCTCGTACCACGCTTGCCACGGTCGCGCATGTGACCATGCCCCATAGATTAATCGCTAATCTGTCCCTAGAGGGCGTACGGACATTTTTAAAAAGTGCACAAAAACAAAAGCAAAACACAGAAAAGAGCAAAAAGCGAGCAAAAAAGCACAGCAACAACAGCAAAACACAAGACACAAGACAAGTCACACAGAACCAGACTACAACTGAGACTGAGCGCCATTTAGAGTTCTGAGTTCTGTTTCTCGTTAAATTGCTGCGTACTTCTCTTCAAGGGATGTGTGTGTGTGTGGGGTGTAGAGGGGTTGGGGTAGTCAGCTAGTCCCCAAGTTCGCATTCGCACCTCTTTTTGTGCCTGTTTTCAGTTTTCAGCGTGCCTTTTTTGGTTTTATACATAAATTAATAAACTTAATTATTGTGCATGCTGCTCTGTCCGCTTGCCCTGTGCAGATTAATGTTTTAATTTTTGCTAGTATGCCTCTTCCCTCTCATTCCCCCCCTCTCTATCTCTCTCTCTCTCTCCTTGCACTCGCTCTCGCGCTTCCATTAAATTATGCGCCATTTTTTGAGTAATTTGTTTGGCCAGAGGCGCAAAAATGCATTAAATTGGAATGCAGCACATCTACCACACCGAGGGCCCCACCCACAATTTGCCTGCCCCTCGCCAATGAGCGTCAAATTGTTAATTTTAAAACATAATAAAATGCTGCAATATGTTATAGTTTTCGTTGCTGCCTCTCAATGACCACAAGCGAGTGCGTCCTAATGTGTGTCACATAAATCAGAGCCTGTCGAGTGGACTGGACTGATGCACAAGAACTTTGGTGGGATGGGGAAAGAGGATGATTTTAACTGCGGCTATTTTAGGCTATTTCAATATGTTTTAAAGTTGAACTTATTTTACAACACAATGCTGTGAACTTTATTATCATGTACCCTGAACGCGGCTGTTAAATATATTATTCTGGTTTGTTATTACTTATTTGTTATTATTTAAGCAAATACTTATTTTATAATGCAACTCAGTGAACTTTATTACCAACTAGCAGTTAAATAAATTATTCAAGTTTGTTATTATTGGAGCATCCAAATCAGGGCTACAAAAGTCCAAGTCAGCAATAACATTGCTATAACTTTGTCACCAGATTTTCGAACCGATGACCTTGGTTTATACTGCAAAGTTGCAAGCACAATTGTCGTGTTAAATCTATTCGTTCAGAAAGTGCTATATATAACAGATATAGAGATATACTATGGGGTCGCAGATGCTTTCTTCTACATTTTCGATACACTTGCATAACTTCAGTATGCCCGTTTTACCATTTTCAAATGGGTTAAATGTATAAAAATAATCGAAAATTCGTTTCAAGTAATAAGTGTCTTCCAAGAAATGCTGGGAGTCTGCTTGATTTATAAAATATAATAAATATTATCATTTAGAAAATTACCTTTGTCCTGTCGAGTTCAAGCTTAAGTTAACTTTTGAATCGTTTTAATCATCTATCAAAATGTAATGTGAAGTAGTTATAGACAATGGGCATTCTAATTTAATTGCAGATAATTCCACTGTTGCACAGATGAAGCGAGCTACGCTGATAGCATAATGAGCAAGTTGTGCTGCTGGTTTTGGATCTGGCTAATAATCGTGCCAACTTGTAAGTTGCTCACTTAAGTCATTTGTTTGCCATCCAGTTGCAGTCGAGTGTCATAATCATTATCATTATTATCATTGTGCACATGATTATCAGCATCTGCTGCTGCTGTTGCTGCTGCTGCAGATTTGTCTCTAAAGTCTTTAGTGGTTGCCCAACTAACTAAGTTACCCGGCTCACACAGCAGCAGGCCAAAACGGTCTTAGCCCTTTGTTTTTCTTCATTTTTTTCTGCGTGGCCAGCAGCCCAAAGGCTTTAACTGGATTCGGCTTGGCTTTGAATTCATTGTGAGTTGCGCCGGCCTGTTGACGGGCTCCATAATTGCTTGTTAAGCAATTTGACACGACTGAGTAGCTGACTGACTGAGGGACTGACTGAGGGACTGACTGAGGGACAGACTGAGGGACTGACTGAGTGACGTTGAGTTTGGCGCATTTCTTCATGCATTTAGCTTAATAATCGAGTCGAGTAGTTTACGCCTTGTTGATGGCTCTGTGGTAATCTGT